TGTAGAGTTGGCCTGCATAGCATGCCATCTCACTCACACTGCTGACGATCTAATTAGATTAAGTGAGTGAAATGATTACTTTAATATACTTCAAATGCAGACGGCCATCTTTGATTTGCATATTTCGGGCTACACAGCACCTGTGCTGGCCCGTTGGTTATCAATGCATGCCATAGGCCACTGACCAGGTGAATTCCGACTTGCATTCTTATCCCAATGCACATCGTCATTGCTCACAATTGTTCTCGTTGTTGTTCTTGTTGTTAACAAGGCTTTCATAATTTGATTAGCGACCTAGGCATAGGCATTTAACTGAAAAGATAAGCGGGCCACACATACACATAGCCACACACAAATGCACAGACAGACATTCGCAATACTGCTAGTTGGCAAGCAGCCAAAATATTGTGAACTGCTGGTCCTTTGCTCGCCCACAAAGAGCAATTAAATGCATAGCTGGTCGTTGAACAGCTTCAACTGTGATCAACTGCAGCGGCAGCTGCAGCTGCTGATCATTAAAATGGCCAAGAGCCAACGCGCCAACGGGCCAACGGGCCAACGGGTCAGGCCACGTTAATGAAGTGTCGGCCACATTGCTGGCCGCTGTTGCCCGCTTTAAGAGAGCTTTAGCTCGTTTTTCAATTGCAACCACAAAACTTACTTACTTAATGTTCTCTCCCACCCTCTCCCTCTCGCCCTCTCTAATTTAAGCGGCACACAGCCTTCTCTGCATTGACTGATGGCCCAACTCTGCCTCTCCCGTTCTCTGTGTCTGTGTCTGTGTGTGCTTTGTGCTTTGTGCGGCTTTCTAAATTATCTTCATGGCAAGCGAACGGCAGTGGTCAAGCACTTGCCTCTGCCAGCTGCTGTTGCTATTGCTGCTGCTGTCGCCGCTGCCGCTGCCGCTGCTGCTGCAGGTGCTGTCTGCCAGCTCATATGTGCTGGAGCCCTTAGCTCGCTCGCCAGTTGGCAGCAATTGAATGTGGCCCCGGCGACTAACGACAAACGACACAAACGTCCAAATGTCCCAAGTCCAATCGTCCAATCGTCCGAGTGTATCCCGTGCCCCTGTCCCGTGTCCTTTGTCCGCCGTGGGTCGTTTGTCGTTTGTCGTTTTGGCCAACATCCTGACTCTGAGCTCTGGCTATGGCTCCGGCTACGGCTCCGGCTCCGGCTCTGGCACTCGCTCTGCGGTCGTCTTCTCTGTGTGCTGCGTGGCAAAAATAATTCTATTTGCTGGCTTCTTTGCTTATCTATTTAACGATATTTATTTAGCTCGTGAAACGGACATTAACTTATGAGCTCACATATCTTATAGATATCGCTTCCATGCCCGATTATCATCGGCCGCAACGCAGCTCAGTCACACAGAAAGTTGCCAAGTTTCAATTGAAGGCTGCTTCCCCCCGTCAATTGTCATATGGGTTAAGTTTGCGCAACAGCTTCCAAGTTATTCTCTCTGATTGCTGGCATTTGCTATTTGTGTCCAAATTGAATGCAGTCCAAGTTTAAGCACTTTACACGGCTCAGGCTCTAGCTCGGGCTCGGGCTCGGGCTCTGGCTTTGGCTTTGGCAAATGCATTTTTCTCTCAATTTAAAATCACTTTTTGCTCGAATATTGATTCAAAGCCTTTAAATTCTTGTTCTGCTGTTCTCCCAAACTCTCAGTCTCAACTGAGATGCATTTCTGAGTTTTTGCCATTAATTCGTCTGAGGTAGAGTTACACAAAGCATTTCGTACTAGGAAGCAAAAAAAAAAAAAAAGAAAAACCCTAAGAGAAGCATAAATTGTACAGCAGAAATTTTACGAAATGTGTGTCAGTATTTAATTACAACAGAAAGGAAAATTATTGTGGAAAATGGAATTTGCTGGCTTTCGAAAATATTCCTCACTCGGTTGTTGATCATCAATCAGTCAGTCTGTCAACCAATCAAAGCAAACCCTCGCTTTACGAATGGAGCCTTAATGCATTCGAGTGGAATAGCAACAAGCAAACATTTGACTCTGATCAACTCTCCACTTACACAAGTGTGCATAAATCTACAAATAATTGTGTGTCTGTACTTACTTACATGTCAGAGCGCGATAGCAGTACAGTAAAGTGTGCAAAAATGTACAAATAAGTGTGTGTATGTGGCACTCACACGGTAGAGCGAGATAGCAATACAGCAAATTAGTTTTGTTTATTTGTATATGAATAACTGTGTGAAAAGTAAAACAATTAACATCGCTTTGTTGCACTCAATTATCTAATCCTCTCGCTCTAACGCACACGCACACGAACGCCGCATAATTGTTGGTTATATAACCGAAATTGGAATATCAATCCACAATTTGTGATTGATAGAAGGCCATAACAATATTGCATTGTGTTTTGTGGAATGCTGAGCAATGTCTTTGCCAATAAATCTATTTACTAATTGGCTATAATGTTGGCTTAAACGATGACACGGCCAGCATAACTGATGGTTAGCCAAGGGCTGGGCGAGGGAATGCTGCACTGGACATAGACAACGTCTGCGTCGTAAGCCGCTGTACAACTACAACTGTGTTAATTCAATAAAATGTTGAATAAAATTGATTGATTAGCTGCGCATTCTGTCTTCTGCTGCCTCCCTCTATATCCATCTCTCTTCTCTCTCTCTTTCTTTCCTTGGCAATTGCAGTGTCTGCCATGGCAGCTGGATGCTATGCCACATATCGCATGCAGTAAGCAACTAGACTGAGTTGGCTATGGCTGCTACTGCTGCCGTTCCACTAAGCTGTTTCCTGGTGCCTTCTTTAGTTGCCACATTTGTGATTCCTTTTGCCATCGCTGCTGCTGTTGCTACTGCTACTGCTTCTGCTGGTGCTGTTCTTCTTCTTCTACGCCAGCTGCTTACACAATTGTCTGTGCATTATTTGAGCTTTGTTATTTTGCTTTTATCCCTTTAGATCAGGACGTAATGCGATTGTGTGAGGTACGACAGGCGTCGAGCGTCGCCACCGTCGCGACCGTCGCGTCGCGTCGCTTCGTTTCGCATCGCATCCTTAACACACAGATTTTCGTGTGCTCATAGCTTCAGGTCCTGCAAAGGTTTTTCCCAGCGCTGCCAAAATGTCACGCTGTGTGACAAAGATGGCCGCCAGCGTACATACCACATACCAAAATAAGCGCGTACGCTTTAAAGCTTGACTCTCGCTCTCTCCTTGTTAATGCTTTAAGTGGTATCAGTTCGGGCTCGCACTGCATTCATTCAAGCATAATTACCGTTAATATAAACATTCAAAATACACATTTCAATATATTTTCCCTTTGGCTCTACACTCTACAAAATGTAGTCTGCGTCTATTCGGATATCTGTGTCTCTTTTTCGCTGCCTGGGCTTAGATCAGTTGTCAACACAACTTATAGTCTCACTCTTCTCACTTGCACATTTGTATATAAAGCTTTACCTGCAGCAGCAGCAGATGAAAACGTTAGCTTGCTTACTCCCTCATACTCACACACTTTTCTTGAGCAATATGGCGGACGCTTAAAGTGCCAGCGGATCGACTCGCTGCACAGTGTTAGTCTCGCTTCCGCAGCTGTATTTTGCTGCATTTGTACTTTAAAATCGCTGGCATAAGCCAATGCAATTCGTTATCTCTCACTCACACTTACGCGTTGCGCCTGCAGCCATATTTGCTGGCTCTCCAATAATAATGTCACGGATTTATGCCTGTGCATATTTATTGTGTCTGGCTGACCCCAAACATTCTGCCCTTATACGAACTGCCGCCTCTTTGTCCACATTCGGCATTGTGTGTGGCGTTTTGCTTAGACCAAGTTACGCAGCATGTTCAATTAAAAGCCCGTACGCAGCTCAGCTCAGCTGGACACCAGGTGCTTGTTTGACTGTTTGCCTGTTTGTCATTTTGGCTGCTTGCATATTTGATTTGTGCATTTAAACATTTCAAACAAGACCACCTGCCCGCTTGCCAGCAGCAGCAGCGACGCCTTATCGCAAATTCTCTTTAGAGCAATTTTAGTTATTATATTGCATTGGCTTTGTGTTCCTCGTTGTTGCTGTAGTTGTTGTTGTTGCCGCTGCTGTTGTTGCAGGCAGCTGCAAGCTGACGTTCACCTTGCATTACTTATTTATTATTGAAGATTAACAAGCAGCTATTTTGGACATGGCAGCAGGAGCTGACAGCCTGCCAGCCAACCAGCGAGCTAGCCAGCCAGAACCAAGTGCCCAGTCTCAAAGTCGAAGCCAAAGCCAAAGCCAACATCAACGACAGCGGCAATGCGGCCATTGCTATGCCTTGCTTTGCCTTTTCGCTCAACTTGCTGAGTTTTCGGGGCAGTGGGCAGGCTTAAGAGCTAAACACTGAGCTTGAGCACTGGCTTTGAGCCGCAGCCAGGTGCCAGCTGCCGGGTGCCAGGTTCATGCCAACTGTCGATCTAACTTTGACCCCTGCCACTCTTTCACACTCCTTCACACTCCTTCACACTCCTTGTGCTGTCTGCAGCATCACTAATCTGCGCATCAATTTTGCATGCTCACTCACGCTCCCTGCCTCCACTCATGCCTAAAGTGTAGGCTTGCTTAGTTTTATGTATATACATATAGCTCTATCTGTATTTATAGTAAGTCATAAGTTTTAAGTGTCGCATTGGAAAAGTGCAAATGAAACTCGCACAATTGTCATTTCGTTATCTGATGCTATCTCTCTCACTCACTCTCTCTCTTTCTTGTTGTTTCTTTTTGCAGCACGTGGAAGCAGCAGCAGCAGCATAAATAAATATGATTAAGCTTAAGAATATATAAAAAGAAAGTTCAAATGAAATAACGCAATATAAAAAACATAAATAAGTAAGCAGCAGCAAAGCAAGAGGAAGCACAAGCAGCAGCAGAGGAAGAGGAAGCAGCAGCAGCAGCAGCAGCAGGCCAAAACGCAACGAGGCAAAGGCAAAAGGCCAACTGGCAGCTGAGGGAGCAGCCAAAGCAACAGCAGCAGTTGAATCACACTCCTCTCCGTCCGTTCCCTCTCCTTCGCTCTCTCGCTCCCGCTCTGTGTGTGTGCGTGTGCGAGCAAGAGAGATAGTGAATCGAGCTCAATTACGCCGCCAAACTGTCGTGTCAGCAACAAGAAGAAGAAACGTGAAATGTGCAATTCCTGGCTGCTGCTCATAATTGCGCTCACTGTTGTCTGCCTGTGGAACTCGCAACAAACCGAAACATCCAAATCATGCCCAGCCGAGTGCATCTGCTTGTCCCAGACTCAAGTAAGCTTAACAATGTCTAACCATCTACCTCTCTCCCTCTTGCTCTTTCTCCCTTTCTCTCTCTCACACTTTTGTAGCTGTTAGCATCATCATCATCATCATCATCATCAGTTGGTGGCCTATAGAGAGTTCGTCTGGGGGATCCTCGGCCTGGTCAGCCTCTTGGCCACACACACAGATAGATGGAGAGAGAGAGAGAGAGTCAGAGAGTGAAAGAGAGAGAAGAATTAAATCGAAAATGTTGGGCAAAAATGTTCATTTCCCTTTGTTTCACAATTCACAAACTGCACAATGGGCAGACATGGAGGCTAGCCGAGAGTAGGGCAGAAGCAGGAGCAGGGGCAGGAGCAGGGGCACGAGCAGGGGCAGGAGCAGGGGCAGATTTGCAGTGGGCCTGGCATATTCCACTTGTTACATTTGCTACTGTGCGCTTTGCTACCACTTGCTATACCCTGCAGCTAACAGCAGAGAGGGTAGATGAGCGACAGAGACAGCGATAGAGGGCAGATGAGATAAAACTAAAGAGTAGCTAAAGAGTGTTAGAAAGCAAAGCAAGCCAAGCCAATTCACATACAAACATACACATATATATATATATATATATATATAAATTATATGTTTTCCAGTCCTGTGGTGACTGAAAGTTAGGTTGAGAGGCGACTGTGCCTCTTATTGCTGGCCTCGGGCTCAGACAATGAAATAAGCCATTTAACGAGCAAATGACGGAGTGAATATTTATTTAAGCGGTTTACTGGAAGAACGCTTTTTAACCCTGCTTTTAATTGTTCTTTTTTTGAATAATCGAAACAGTTAATTTTATTGGTTTTTCTTATTATATTCACTATTTTTAGTTTTACTTATATGACACCAATTTTTAGCATGTCCTATCAGTACGAGTTAAAACACGAGACTGATCTATATTTTTACAAATCATAGCCTCACCGGCGTAAGTAGAGTTGCTCTTGCCAGGGCTGTTCCTTAACATGTCTAGCACCCGATAATAAGTGTTGAATAATACCTTATATTAAGTGTTATAAGCTAACTAAGTGTTATAAGTTAACTACCCCCCCCTCAAGTGTAAGGTCGTCCTCGACCGACCCAATTCCAGCGACGACTCCTCGCAAGTGCTTCGCGGACTTCTTTGCGTCGATGATCCACCAAAGAGTGAGGCCAATGCAGATTAAAGCACAGCATATGGCTCCTCTTTCGGAGTGCCGTACAACGGCACATCATCAAAGTGCACCATTTCGGTTCCTTGGTCGCATATTAGCAGCGGTGACCAGCGAGTCGGTGCAGGTGTTCTCGAATGAAATCCGCAAGTCGTTCTCATTCACATTCAATACGGAGCAGTATGAGCAGCGTACTGATTCTTCGCTATCGCCGTTCAGCAGGCGCTTACTAAGCTTGCTCTTGCGCCTACGTATGTGGCGTCTGTTGAAGCTGTTGGTGCCCGACGTGGACGTGAGCCTTGGCATCGGATGATGCACACCAAAGTTGTGCAGCCGCAGCGACTTGAGTGTGGCTGGCGCCGTCGATGACTGGCCGTGCACGTGCCCGTGATGGCCGTGATGACTGTGTCCCACCACTCCAGCGATGCTATGAGCCGTTACTGGACGAGTGATGTGTGTAGTCTGTCGGCGCGCTCAGCTGGCGATTGAATTCGGCCTTGCGGCGCGTCAAGTCCGTCAGGCAGTATTTGTTCAGATGGCCGTTGCTGGAGACAGGGCTCTTGGGCGATGATGCCAGATGCTGCGTATAGGCCGAAGGAGTTGCTGCTCACGCTTAGCTTATTGCCGGCGTTGTGCAGCAGATTGTTACAGTTCTTGCCGCTGATCTTGGCTGCCAGCGACTGCGACACCGGCCGACTTTTTGCTAGGCGCCCTGTACTCCTTGTCGTCGCTCTCGCTGCGCACCGATGCTCGATACGCAGGAAATGTCTTCGTCTTGCTCTTCAGCGAGCCGTTCAGCAGTAGCTGCTGTTGCCGTGCGGCAACTGCCGACAATGCCGGCCGCTGCAGTTGACGTGACGCCGCTGTGAAACTTCTTGAATTAATGCAGTTGGCGGTGTTTTGGGGATTTCTTGACTTGGTTCTAGTATGGATGAAGAGTCGCTTGGCTCTGCCGCCGCGAAGAACTCGTTAGTTGTTGCTTCTACTGTTGGTGGTGGTGCCGTGAACAAGGGGATTTCCTCAACGATTCCGCTTGTAGATTTGCCTGCTGTGGTTCTGGCTTAGCATCCAACTGTGGTGCGAATAGAGCTGTTGCTGGTCCTTGTGAAAATATGGGCAAACTCTGTGATGTTGGGAATAATGGAACTTCCGAAACAGGTGCAGTTGACGGTGGTGCAAATAGTGTAACCTCCTGATTTTGATTTGAAGAGCTCTTTAGCTCTTCCCTCTGAGTCGGTGACTTAAAAAGGTTGTTGCTTGTATCTGGTGTAAGTCCTTGTGTTGCGTTAGTCGGACTGGAAAAGAGAGGAACCTCCTGAAGTGTATCGGCTAGTGCTGGTGCAAAAAGCGATGTAGTTGCTTCGTGAGTCTGAAAGAGGCCCGTCGATGCCTGTGGTGTAAACAGCGATGTTGCTGGCCCAGTTGGGGGTGGTGCAGCCGCAACAGAGGAACTTCCTGGCTTGGCGCTGGTGCAGCTGACGGAGCTGGCGCTGTAAATAGGGCAACTTCTGTAGGCTGTGCTCCAAAAGGATTAAAAATAGCAGCAGGTGCTGCGAAGGGTGCAAAGGGCGTGGCTGTTAAAGCTGTTTGCTGGCCAAAGCCTGTTGCGGGCACTGCAGTTTCCTGAGCTGTCAGTGGACTCTTGTAGAGTCTGGTACCCTTCTGCAGGCGGTACGAGGAGTGTGCAGGTCCTGCCGCTGGTGGTGGTGCTGCTACTGCCGCTGGTGGGGGAGTTGCTGCAGCCACTGATGGCGGTGCAAACGTTGGAGTACTCTCGATTAAACCAGGTGCTTGAGCAGCTGTCAGTGGCTGAGGGACAGTGGCTACTTGGGTGACTGTCGGAGTCTGAGCGTATGTCGCTGGCGGAGCAGTTGCCCCAGGCTGAGTAAATGTCGGTGGTACCGCGGCTGGCGTTGGCTGAACACCGGTTGATTGCCCAGAAACAGCTGGTGCTGGCGTAAAGAAGTTACCAACAGACGGAGCTGCAGCAACTACGGAAGGATTGATGTAACCACCTACAGTGGGTGGTGCTACAGTGGGCGAAAAATAATCAGCAGCAGCAGGCGGAGCTGCAGGCGTAAAAAAGTTTGCAGGCGGCTGCGGTACGGCAGCGCCGGATGTGCTTATGTCAAAGTAGCCACCAGAATCAGCTGGATTGTAGCTGGCTGGTGGGGGTGGCGCAGGTTCGTTGGTTCTGCCTGTGGCCGATTGCACTAGACCCGAAATATTCTGTAACACGCCAGTGGGCACTAGACTAGTGAGTGAGAAGAGACCACCGCTCTTGCGTTCCTCTTGAACGGCTGGTGGTGCAGGCTGCTCGAATGCTGCTGCTGCCGCCGCTGCCGATGGCTGTGTGGGATATGGCGGTGCTTGGAAGGGATCAACAGCTGGCACTGGCTGCTGTTGCTGCTCGGAGAGACCTGGTATGGGTGCGTATAGCTTCTTTCTGGCACTAATGCGATAAGTGTTCTGTCCGGCCCCACGTTGGGCGCCAATTATATGATTTCCAGTCCTGTGGTGACTGAAAGTTAGGTTGAGAGGCGACTGTGCCTCTTATTGCTGGCCTCGGGCTCAGACAATGAAATAAGCCATTTAACGAGCAAATGACGGAGTGAATATTTATTTAAGCGGTTTACTGGAAGAACGCTTTTTAACCCTGCTTTTAATTGTTCTTTTTTTGAATAATCGAAACAGTTAATTTTATTGGTTTTTCTTATTATATTCACTATTTTTAGTTTTACTTATATGACACCAATTTTTAGCATGTCCTATCAGTACGAGTTAAAACACGAGACTGATCTATATTTTTACAAATCATAGCCTCACCGGCGTAAGTAGAGTTGCTCTTGCCAGGGCTGTTCCTTAACATGTCTAGCACCCGATAATAAGTGTTGAATAATACCTTATATTAAGTGTTATAAGCTAACTAAGTGTTATAAGTTAACTTATATATATATATGGACAGGGTATATTGGCAGTCAGTCAACACTTTGCTCTTGCACTCTTTTGGTATTCAATTGTCTCCCGCGAGAATTTTTGCGGCCAGCTGCGCGAATAGTTTGGAGGATGTGAACAGAAAACAAGAGAAGAACGAAAAAAAAAAAAACAAAAACAAAAAAAGTGATGGCAGTAGGCACGGCCACGCCCCCAGCCACAGGTCCGCCCTTTCGGCGGCCCACTTAGGCACGCTTAATGCGCATCCTTATTACCAATGGGGCGAGCGAACGCTGCTGGCATCGTCATTTTTACCAAATTGAGAACTTAAGTGATTTCATTATTCCAGATTATGAACAATGAAATGATTTACTCAGCGAGGCCCCCAAAAACACAAAAAGACAAAAACAAAAATGAAAATGAAAATGAAAATGAAAATGAAAAAATTATTAATAAATGAATTGAGGTAAGAGAGCAGCACGAATCCTTAGAATCATTTCTGCTTCTGTAGTCAAAAATCGCTCTCAGCCGTTGCCTACTTTTCTGGGCAACTTATACTAAAATGCACAGGTGTATATACATATACATATAACTGGCACGAGGCTTACACTTCATAAAAATAGAGTCACTTGTGCTAGCTTATCTATTTCATAGAGCCGAAACGCTCTCAACTGGGAAGCTTTAAGGCTCTTAGAGTGACCCAGCAAGAGTGATAGTATTTTCGATAGCTATATTTGCGCAGTTATCTAACTTATCGATAACACTGAGCTGCTGAAGTGCTCAGTGAGATATGCCATTTGAGCATAAAATATTTTGTGTCTGCTGATAGTGCGCAAATTTGTAAAAAGTTAGATCAAAATTGCGTTTTAGCTGTGAATGTTCGTTGCAGCGTTAAATTCGCATGCAGTGAGAGAGGCGGGGCTAATGCAAAGTTGACAAGCTTCAGCTGCTTAGCAATTTAAGAGCAATGCCTCGATGTAGTTTGCTAAGAAAATATAGCTGCCAAGGCAATCTGGCTCTGGTTCGATAACAAAACAGATTTAGATTCGATTGAATGAAGCAACAAAAATCTTGAGCAGAGTCCCAAGCTGATAAGATACGATTCCATATGTGTTAATAGCGTGGCTATAGCCTTGAATTAAATAATATATATATATATATATATTTATATATATATATATACGTAAGCTTTCAATATTCATACCCTTCAAGTTTGTTTGCCAGCTGGAATATAGAGCTTATCGAACAATGGAATGAAACGCAGCGTAACGTATTGAAATGAAACGCTTGGCGGCAGTCGCATAAACAATTGTTAAACACGAAGTAAAAGAAGAAGAAAAAACACGCACAAAAGACGAAGAAGATGAACAAGTAGAAGCTGAAGAAATGAAACTTTTAATTCGTTCATTTAAGAGGTGAAGCGTATGAAAATTGTGCAAATGCGAAAGGAACGGCAAGGAGGAGGCGGCGAGAAAGTAACTGTGAAAGAGCTGGTCAGAGCCGGAGCAGGAGGCGGCGATGACATCAACGAAACAGCGACAAGCGATGCGACAGACAGATGGACGATGAGCAGTAGCAGCAGGAGACGGAGCACGGGAGTAGTAGGAGTAGGAGCAGGAGCAGGAGGTGGAGTTACAACAGATAAGGCAGAATGTAAAGACGGAGTAGGAAGGAGAAGACATGCCTAGAATGGACATTGTAGCCATATAACTATGGTTGGGGCGCACTGCTAAAGGGAAGGGGGTGGAGGCAGGGCGGGATGGGGTGGGCATGCCTGTGCTACCCACAAACGCACGCATCAGCACATAATAGTTATAAAAAATGGAAGCACAAAGCGGAGACGAGACGCGCGCGAGCTGCGAAACGCGTGGCGCAAGACAATGCCGAGGGGGGGAGGGGGTTGATTAAAAAGAAACAACGCGAAAACAACGAAACGAGCAACAGAAATGCGGCGACAAGACAAAGCAGTAAACAGTAGGAGAGTGTAGAAGACTAGGTAGATACCCTGTAAACGACTGCGCCAATGGAAAGACGGAGTGAGGCTGATAGTCTCTCTATGTAAGCCAGCATATCGGATCTAAATTAGAATCTATCGATAATGATCGATTCACGGGGGCTACGTTTCCAGCTTGCGTTGCTTGTAACTGAGAGATCTTAATAAAGCCATTTCAATTGTTATTAAACTTCAAAATGAAAGGCTGCATTTAATCGATATTTATCGATTTTTAAAAAAATCATAATTTATTTAATTATGATAAGCATAACTTAAAACTATACCAAACTCAGCTGTATCCATTAATATAATATATCTAAGCCTAGTCACTATGCAATCGATAATTATCGATTTTGTTCAATTGATTAGTGAAGTGCGAGGTGAATCTCACCAGCTACAGCCTACAGTAATTGTGAGCAAGACTATATATATTAGGCTGAAGGGCTTTATCAAATCGATAATTATCGATTTTGGAAACGTATGGTAATGTAGTAAATGAGAAAGTGAATAAACGGCTTAACTCATTTGCTTCAACGAACAACGATATGTTCACCACAAAGCTGATTCTTATGAGAACGATATTTATCGATTTTAGAGCTACCCTATATATAGAAATAATAAATCGATTCAAACTGCATATTTATTATGAATACTGGCTGATAGAATTCGAACTACTTTGGCTTACGTATAAATCGATAAACATCGTCTACACACTTAATCGATAAGAATCGATATAAATAGTTAAATAAATTGGAATAAGTCTGAGTTGCTCTTGCCATAAGCAATCATAGACATATTCGACAAACACTTTCTACAAATGCATATACCCCTTTGTAAGTTCTACAGAGTATAACAAAGTGAACAAAGAGCATAAAAAAAATTCGATTTAATTTTATTTGGCAGCAATAAAGCCGCAAATTCAATTTTTCGCACCAACATTGACTAACATCTTGACACCTGCCCTACCTAAACACCTCTATTCCACTTACTCTTCTCACTCTCACACTCATTCTCTCTCTCTCTCTCTCTCCCTCTGTGTCTCGTGCAGGTGCTGTGTAACACGGGCGGACTCGAGCAGATTCCACTGCGCCAACTGCCAGCGACAGTGGAGAATCTGGCACTGACGAAAAACAACTTTCCCATCATTAAGCCGGACTCGTTTGCCGGACTGCGAGCGCTGAAGAAGCTCTCGCTGGATGGCAACAATATAACGCGTATCAAGCAGTTCGCCTTTCGCGGCTTGCCGCGATTACGTGAGCTATCCATACAGTATACGCCGCTGCAGATGGTGGCGCAGTTTGCGTTTGCCGGACTCCAAAATCTGTCGACGATTCTGCTCAGTCACAATCAAATACAGCGGATCGAGGGCAACGCCTTTGCGGGCACCTCGAACATCAAGCTGATCCTGTTGAGCAACAATCCCCTGATCCGGATTGAGACGTCGGCGTTCTCCAGCCTAACGAATGTGGGACACTTGATATTGCCATCGGGCATACGGAGCATCGAGCAGGACGCGTTCTTCGGCATGGACGCTGTCGGACTGCTGAAGTTGGCCTACATGGATCTCAAGGAGATCTCGCCGTTCACCTTTCGCGGCCTGTCCAACGTGCTGCTGCTGACGTTGCAGGAATCCGATTTGGGCGTCATCTGCGCCGACGCCTTCACGGGACTCACGCAGGTGGAGACGCTGCAGATACTCAACAACAAAATCGATTCAATTGAGGAGTTGAATTTCACAAACACAGCCGCCATTAAGCATCTGAAATTCCATGGCAACCATGTGCTGGAGACGCCCGATCCGAATGCCATCATTGTCGATGGCGTTGACCATCTGCAGCTGCTCAACAATCACTTCCCCTGCGGCTGCCACATACACACTCTGCTCGATGGGCCCCTGGCCGAGGGGGCGCACAATCTGAGCGACTTTCTGCAGAAGAACTATTGCATCTCGCCGCTGGAGGTGAACGGGCGTGTGATGAGCGAACTGGACATCGATGCCATCGGTCGCTGTGCCGACCAGCTGACCAAAGGAAATCTGGGCAGCTCGGCTGCCACCCTCGCCCTCGGCCTGAATGCCATGCTCCTGATCGCTGTCGCCAGCTGCGTCGAATGGCGCTATGTTCGCCTGCTGGCCCATCTCTTGAGTCACAGTCACATCGCTTGGCGTCGACGCCGGAAACGCCGACGACCCGACTAGATCCACTCTCCACTCCACTCCCACACAGGTCCTACGCGCACTTCAACTGAGCTCGCTGTGTGAGCGAAACTGAGAGAGCTAAAACTACGTTCATACTTTAAACTATGTATTCCCTGCTTAAGAAGTAAGTAGACTCACCCACTATGAAGCGGCAAAGAGACCCTATTTAGAGATTCTGCTGCCAAGCGTCGCGTTAGGACTGAAGTCGAGGAGCAAGCTATAGAAACTGCTTTGGCCTGGCGTGAAAAAACAAATTTATTTCTTTGTTTTAATAATTATTTATAGCTCAGCTTGTTTCATCTAAGCCCTTTGTCCCAACCGAAATTTGCAACTTAAAAATTCAGCAAGAAACAAGTAGTTTTAAGCCTAAAACTCTGCTTTAATTGCTAAAGTGAACTGAACCTTGTAGCTTGAAGCGTGAAGTGAGCCGACTAAAAGATGCCCTGAACACAAGGCAAACTCTTTTGATTATTGATTGACTCTACTTGCCATTCAACAGAAGATATGAGGATATCGCATAAGTAACATTTGATGGGGTGTTCTATCGATCTACTAAAAGTTATCGATCATTTAAAGCTAACTTGAGCTTGATTTGTTTTGGAGCGACCTCTTTCAACTATTGACTTTACTGGGAATTCAACTGTAATTCACATGGAAGTCAAGACATAAGATTTGAGGATATTGAATAAGTAACAGTCGATGCAGTGTTCTATCAATTTGCAAAATGTTATCGATAATTTAAAGCAAGCTTGAACTTGATTCGCTTTGGGGCGTTCTGTTTCAACTATTGACTTTACTTGTAATTCAACTTTAATTCAGTTGGAAGTCAATACTCAGCTGAGGCACTGAAGACGCAGAAAGATGAAAATATCGAATAAGTAAGAATCGGTAGTGGGTTATCGATAATTTGAAGCCAACTTGAACCTGTTTTTATTTAAAGCGACCTGCGTAACTCCTAGATAAACACAGAAAGTCGTAAGTACGAACTGGCCAAAGAACAGGGCTTGCCTGTTGCTGCTGATCAAGAATAAATAAAAGGCTCGACCACGCCTCCAACTGTTCGAAATGGCCATCTTCAATATCCCAAGGCCAAGCCAAGCCAGTCTCAGCTAAGTTTTCAAGCGGCAGCTCAAGTCTGGCCAACTTCTGATCAGCTCTTTCCTCCAGCTAATGCCTATTTCTATTAATGTTGGCTTCATTGGCTGTTGAAATGTCACGCAGTCAGTTGCCTTCAGTTTTGGCCAAATCACTCTTCTGTGCACCTGATACTCCTGCTTTTCAGCGGGTATCATTTAGCGGATTGCTTACATTGAATCCATTTGCTTTCAATTAGCTTTAGCCTTTGATCGCGCTGCTAATGGAAAATATTTTTTGTTTCAGCTTCATTTGAGGCGCCAGCTGCTTATCGCTGTCATCAGCACACCCACCCACCCACGCACACACACACACACACACACACACACACACACACACACTCTACACACACTATATGCCCTAAACACATTCGCTATCAATTTTTACGTTTCGCTTCAAATGCAAATGGAAAATGTTTTCAATGCTCGCTTCATATCTCTATCTCGCTATCTCTGCCGCCCTCGCTCTCTCCCTGCCTGACTCACTCATATATGGAAAAAGAAGTATTCCGCACAGTTAGCCAAATCCGAATCCGTTAACGTTTCTTTTTTTCCTATTTCTTTCGGTTTTTTCGTCAGTTTGGCTTTTGGCTCCTCCAATTGAACTGCAGCCAGCCTTAAAGGCAGCCTCGATTGTTGCTGTTGCCGTTGTTGTTGATGCAGCTTCAACAGTTTCATTGTGCCATGCCACATCTCACTTAAAGTGCTGCAGGCTTCACTGCCAAGGGTGGCGGCGGGGCCAGGTTCATCAAGGTGGGGAGCGGGCGGGTCGGGTCTATGGGTTAGCATACAAAACGAAAACGGAAATTACAAATTCTATTCACTCGCAACGGCATTGAGGGAGAGCGCTCTCTAATTCGTTGCTCCAAGTTGTCCCACACACACACACACACACACGCACACGCACACATACATATATATATATACAGAGAGCTGGAAGTTCTGGCTAGGCTGAAAGGCAGCGGGTTCATTCTATAGACGCTTATCGCAAAGGATTTAGATTTATCTAACTTGATTATGATGCTGCACACACACACACAAGCACACAGCACGCACACACACACACACACACACACACACACACACACACACACACACACACACACACACACTTCTGTTGCTGCTTTGGAAAAACAAATGCTCAGAGAAATCATTGAAGGAAATTAAAACTTTGTTTACTCTCAAGTCGACTTCTTGTAATGCATGCCACGCCCTTGCGCCCCTCAACGCCTATAGACTTACCCTTTTTGCTGAGTGTACTACAAATGTGTGCTACTTGTTATAGCAGTGTATATTGTGTGCCAAATTATAGCAGCCTGCGCTTGGCATCATTTTCAAGCCCAATCACAGCGAAGCTGAAGAGATGTACGCGCAGGAGATTTTAGAGAAAGAACTCAAGAAGTGGAAATGTCAATAAAGAAACTAAGGTTGAGACTAAGATAAAGAAGAAGAAAGATCATAGAAAAAGTCTCTAAGAAAAGCCCTGAAAAAAAATCAATAAAAATCATCAAAAAACAGTGTTGAGAAAGCCACAAAAATAAATGAAGTTGAAGAAGCTCTGAAGAGAAAATCTTAAGGAAAACTGATTGAGAAATAGATTAAAGAAGGAGCAGTAGAAATCTGTGAGAAGAAATGCAAAAAGCTTCAAAAAAAAATGAAAAAATAAGGTCTAGCCAAAGCAGTGTTTGGGAAAAGCCAGAAGCTCAAGAAAAGAAGCAAAAAAAAAATATGAAATATGTTTTGAGCACAAAATTTTAGTACTTTTTAAAAAATTTGGCAAAAGAAATTTTGAAAATAAAGTTTTGAAAATGAATATTTTCAGAAAGAGCTTTGAAACGAAATATGCTTTCAATAAAAAGCTAAAAAATAAACTAGAAATATTCAAAAATTTGAAGAGAAAACTAAGAAACAGTTACACAGATAAAGTATTGAAAAGAAAGTTTTGAAGTTGCTGAAATGAAAATTTAGAAAAGGTTTTCAAAAAGCAAACGAAAAAGTTTTGAAGAAAATTTCTTAAGAAATTAAGTACCAAAAAAAAGCAATTTAAGTTTAGCTTGGCACTGGTAACTCTATCAGGATCGAACAGCTATATCCCCTAGAAAAATTCTCAGGATCGAACAGCTATATCCCTTAGTGCTTATAGCAATTTGATATCTGAACAGCTTGAGGCGGGCATAGAGCATCGAAGCAGCGACTTGTGTCTTTGCCGAACGGGTTTATGGCTGCTTGTCTGCTTTCTAGCTACAGTTGGAGCATTTTCACACAAGACCCAACTCCCAGCACCCCTCCCCCCAGGCAAGCCGCCCCCAGCTCCACGTTGTGCACACGTCATATTGGCAATTGATTTAATCAATTTGGTTGCTCAGCTAATTGAAAGAAGAACTGTTTTGTTGACCCGAACTTAAAGCTTTAACAATCCGGCACTCGACCTGTGGGCGGTGCTGGCTTAAATGGGCGTGTCTATGCGTTAGCTACAAAACACGTTCGCGCATTTTCGACCCCGCACGTGGCTGTTGCCGATGGCCGAGCATTTGGCACACGATTTCTGTCACTTGGCGCCCGCTCATGTCCGCAGATCGTTAACTTAATTGTTCCGCTTGAAATCCGAAAACTCTGTTCGACGCCATTGTTGCGAGTGATAGTTGGAACCCACCGCGCACCACCCACCGCCTCTAGGCCCTCTGGCCGTGTCAGCAGTGCAATAAAATTGGCGTGACTAACTGTTGTGGGCGGCTATGGACAGTGGGGACTCGGTTGGCTCTCGCTGGTCACTCCAGCCGGCCGGCCAGCCAGCCAGCCAGCCAGCCAGATGGATGCATGGATGGAGCCGGGCGCTTTTGGCCGTGCGTGCCGCTGCTGACGTCGCTGCTGACACGTCAGCGAGTGCGTCATGCAATCAGCAAATGGTCGACCGCAGCAAAAGTCGCGTAATTAACGACGAGCAGCGCTTCAGCTGAACTAAACCTAAGCCGAACCGTAACACAGCTGCTGCTGCAGCCTCCCCCTCCTGCCCCCCCCCCCCCCCCCTCCCCACAGCTGCTCCTTCTCCTCCTCTCTCAGCAAGTCAAATTAAAACTTGTCCCATCCCCCATTTCCCATATGTCCATCAGTTCGTCATGCCCCTTTTTATAGCATCGATAAAGTTTCACAGAAAATCGCGACAAAACCCAAATTTAATGCGTTCTCGAAATGATCGACTAGTTGATACCCTTTGAAGTCAGCAGCAGCTGCATTTGCTGTAAGATATGAATAATTTATCCATTCTATGTAATTTTTCGATAATATGTGCCACAATTACCCAGCATGATTCAAAAATACCCTGTAAATTATGCGGAGAAGTTGACAAGTTGCATGGAAATGCCACTTCATGGGTTTCTTCAACAAATTCAATTGTCTGCTGGACACGCAGCTACCCTGTAAAGATTTTAGCAACCGACTAACTAGCAGATACCCTGTTTTTTTGACTGTAAATACCCTGCAAAAATCTTGTTGCTGACTAATCGCGACCATAAGATACCCTTAAACATGAAAACAATGAGAAAATCTCTAAAAGCTGATTCCCGAATTGAGCTCTAGAGTTTTGTCATATGTCTAATATACCCTTTGCGCACTCTTAATCCAGGGTATTACGAACACATTGCAAATGCATTACAAGAAGTCGCTAAAAATGGAGAATGCTCACGAAAGTAATTAAATTAGACAAGTTAAAAAGATTTGCAAAGCACAAGCATGACTAAAAAATACCCTGTAAAACTGTTTGGTAGATTTTCTAGGGTAAGCTGTTAAAAGAAATGCAATTCTTTGCAAATCTTTTGTATAGCCCATAAAATGCTAAATGGAGATAGTTGCTGAGCTAGTCAAGCATACTCTTCTGCAGCACAGACTACAAGGTATTTAAAG